AGAGTAAGGTTTAATCCACACCGGGCACAAATAAACAAGCTATATAATTGCACACAACAAATAAAATAAAAGACCTGAATTATAGGAAAGAGACAGACATAGAGTGTGAGAAAAAGAATTCGGGGTTCGTTTGTTACGGGTCCCGCGCGGCCCCGTTAAGGTTACCTCGGACGGTTGATGATCGTAGACACCAGGAAGTGGACGTGGACATCAGAGTTAAGAATCAACAAGTCTCGGGCAGATGCAAGGACAAAAAATAGCGAGAGATCTCGCGCGCTTAGTAATCGAGACGTTGAAGATAGAGGAGATCACGAGCGAACACAAGCACAGCACGCATTTATATCACGTCGCACTTGCTACGAAAAACACCCTATCACCGAAGGTTGCCTAGAGTCTTGGAGTGAGAAATAAAGAAACCCACGAACCGAGGCCTTCACTGACTTAACGCGAGGATCACAAAACTGAACGGGCTCTGGTAATAAAATCAGAAGCGCTAGACACTAAAGAGCCGTCCCACGACCACTGTGCGGGGCTATTGCAGCAGAGGAGAAAACAGAGCGCGCCGACAAAACTCGTGAGAGAGAGAGGCAAGCGTGTCGCGAGGTGGAGCGGTAATCTCCCCGCCCCGGACACAACTACGCCGCAGAAAGACACACGTCCGCAGCCTTTTCTTGGCCACTAGTTGATATATACTCCTATTCCGTGTCACAGCTTCCCGCCGGCGCTCAAATCATGGTAAGACGCGAGCGAAGAGTGAGCTCATTTATAGGAGCGATATAAGCGTTCACCACGAAACGCACTCTGTGTATAAGAAACGATAACTTGAATCGTAAGTCGAGAAGAGTCACGAGCCGACCGCGTCTTTGCGGTACGCTGCGAACGATCACGAACACCGGACTGAGCTCTAGAATTTGAGACTCACACTCGAGGCGCACACACGCGCGCCTCACTTAGAGCGCGCGACGAGAAAGACGTTTCGGGTATTCTGACTCTGACCGCTGAGGGCCACAGACGAGCGACGAGCCATCGCCCCCTCTAAACATGCCGCGAGTAGCCGGCGAACTATAATTAAAGTCACACAGGAGCGCGCCGCCGGCGAGGTAGTCCGGCCCTATAGAGACGACTTACACGCCGACGCGAAGTGTCGACCACAAGAGCAGCTGGAACGCGACTAGCTCCTAATAACCCATCGTCGCGTGTGCGAGGCTATTATTCATGCGCGACTCCACAAACGCCTACAACGGAACAAACATGGTAAAAGTCCGCTAAAACATTAGACAGATCTTTTGCTAACACAAAAACATCCTAAAGTTCGTGACGGCCAGTTGAGATCTTGTCTTTCGTCTTCTTCACTAGCCAGAGTCGCCAGAAATACTTGAAAGATAAAACGGATAGGGGTTATAGTACGACTTTTCATCCCGCGAATAACACATAATCTATAGACACTACTACGAATCCGCACTCCTATCCTCAGTAACTAAATAAGAACAAGTAGATACTTGACAAGACTACATAGATTCGTTACTACTACGTCACAGAGTTGGAACACGACACAACATTACTATAGATCGCCGCAACACTATACTCTCTCTATTAGACAAAATCCGAGCTCAGAACGATCTTAATGCGCTGACTAACGGACATTGCATGGCGCAAGGCGTGCTACACGCTCACTTCCACTGCAATTGAAAGTCAATAATACCGCACCCGTGCCCACGTACAAAAAACAAAAGGACTCACGTCGAGAACGTCCGGGTGAGGCGGAAAAAACAGAAAAAAAACAACATAAGGACGTCACAGTAATTACACTCGAGGATGTGGATATTATTAAACCGGAAAGAACTGTACGAAATAGTCGAATTGACTTGAAGTCTACAGTAAGACGCTTAAACCTTTGGACGTAGAATTACAACAATGTCCCAGTGCAAAGTTACATACAAAGTCGTAACAACCAGCAGAATGATCCCAACTGTAAATAAAATTCGAGTTATGCCAACAAGATGACCAAATTGGAAGTCTGGTGTAAACTGCACAAAGTCAAGTGGGGGTAGAAATAAAACACTACTACACTTTTCAGTTAGGTCTTATATGGATGCAGCGGAATATAGAAAACGGTAGAATCGGAAAACTGGTTAAAGCAAGTAAGGGCAACAACGTAACCGACAGATGACGGATCCTGTCTACAAAAAATCCAGAGAACAACTCAACCCAACAGTCAAACCTTTACAGACAGGCGACTTCTACATGACTTAAGTTACAAATTTACAAAAAAAGTTTTACGGAGAAAAGTAGAGACAGGACTCCTTTTGAGTCTCTACTATTCCCGCTCGGTCTGGGGAAATTCAATAAAGATAAATTAAAGCACAACGAGAGCTCTTTGATA